AAATTTGATAACGTACAAATGACAATATAGCCTTTTTAAACTTTTGCATGGTAGAAAACAAACTTTGGTGTTTTTTGATGAGTTACTTTCATTTTTGCCTTCTACGTTTCATTTAAAATAAGTTTCCATTTTCGGCACCTTTCTAAGGTTCTTCTACATATTAAAAAAGTTGTTAAACATCTGAGTGGCGCACTACCGCTACTAGTGGTGAGAAAGTGTATTGCACCTTATTCAAAATCAATGCAGCCCAAAGTTAAGAACTGTTGTTCTTTTGAGGCCCTCAAGGAGGCGCTGGCCACGGCCCATAGGTTAAGAATCTCTGTTCTACACCATGGACAGCATCATTATCAGTGAAATTGACCTCTCACTCCACCACAGTCATGTATAATCGTAATAGACACTCACATTCAAGATTGTTCTCTGAGGATTTTAAATAAATAGATTTTGATTTCTTTGACAATTACCGACAGGTGTATTATTTACCATTGACAATTTTCTTAATTCTCTAATTATAAGGTGTATTTTGTTCAAAATGGAATTATTTTGTAAATATAATGTTTTGAAAGTATCTACAGCATTGATCTTTTTTGTAATAAATATAAATGCATTGTTTGTTGTCACAGGCACTTGAAGGTCTTTCTGACACCTCATTCCTTTCTTGGTGATTTTTTTCCGAGCTCGTGTGAATATTAAATATTTCTGGACACGATCCTCAGGTGGTTGGCAGCTCGCAGGGAGCACAGCTGAAGTTGTCTGACGGCTCCGTGAAGACAGTCACAGCAGCAGGAGTGGGCCACATATCCAAGCCTGGTACCACCACGTTGAGGATGACAGGTGGAGTGATCACAGCAGCCTGCTCCACCCCTTCCAGTTCAGCTGCTGCAGCCAGTCAACAGGCTAGTTCCACACTTTTATTATATTAAATACGTTTATGAATTGGTTGGTTTGTCAGTAGTTACCTCAGTATTCCTGACTAATATAACCAGTTTTAGAAGACATTCTGTCTATAGGAATTCAATGTTTCAATCACAAAAAAAAACAAAAAAACAAAAAAAAAACAATTAGAAGCAGTTTAATACCTTCTAATAGTTGATGAGTGATATAAAAGCTAAAGCTACAAATGACACATTTGCCTCAGCAACAGGAATACATGTAAAAACAGACGTGATCCAGTGTTGAGCTGCAGTAAGGTTGGGGATTTATTTGTCATAAAGAGAAGAGATAATTGAAAGTGCTTGAAAATCACAATCAGCCATTCAACCTCAGTCTTGGTTGAGGTGATTACAGCTTTAAAGCCTGTGTCAGACCTCATTAACTTGAGTAATGGAAATGCACAAAACCTCTTCCTAGATGCTCCRTCAAACAAAAACAAAAAACACGTTTTTATTTAATAGATGCTAAAAATCACTCAAAATATGTTGAGTTGAAGCTGATTTTTGTCAAGCCTTTTTGTCAGCAAATACCTCTTATGTTTTAGAAATTTAAATACAAGCAGGGGCCTGWTAAATTAGTTGAGCAGTGCAGGAAAACAAACGTCAGCATAAAATACATGTAGTTACTGGGGCTGTTGCCCCAGCTGTAAACCAGTGAGCACCGTTCATAGATTTCCACCAGTATCTATTTGCAGCTTGGAAGGTTACCATTTATAGCTTTAACCCACCTTTTCTGTTAACACACACCCACAGTTTGATCCTGCAGACTTATATTTGCACCAATCAATTATACTTTTTTAGTTTTAGCTTGTTTTGAGAGGTTTTTTTTTACCAATCAGTTAATATAATATATGTTTTAAACTGTGAGAAAACCTTGTTGAAGCTTCACGGCCACATTTCGGTTTGTCTGCTTTGGTTTGAGCTCATGCAGCCGTATCAGTCTGTCACTATATTTAGCATTTCTGTGGACGATCTTTTGTTCAGATTTCTTCTGTTCTTGTTTCTTGCTGTGGATTGGTTGAGATTTACTTTATGTGGAAAAATGTTTACAATTTATTTCAAGGCATATCTACCAGAGCTTAGTTTATTATCTAAATGTAAAAAAGCTCAAATAGGTTGAGGTTTATGTGTGTAGCTGACTGACCCACATACTAAGAGTTTAGAGCTGCAGTGTTTCTGGGAATGTTCTGGTTGACAGATGTTTCTGTGTGTCCATGCAGGCTGCTGATGGTGGGAAGTCTGCCTCCCAGCACCACTCACTGCTGGTGTCAGCCAGCCAAGCAGCAGTAATCAGCGCAGCCAGCGGCGGCAGCCTGTCCAAGGCAGCTGTGGCCTCTTTGGTCAAAGGAGCAGGAAGCTCCGCCGCACTGAGCAAAACTGCAGGAAGTTCAGCCGGGGCCGTGGTGACGGTGGCAAAAGGGCTCGCAAGTATGCCCGCCTTGAGCGTGTCCAAAGGAGCTGGGATGGGGGCTGTGGGGGGCGTGTCCAAAAGCAGCAGCACATCATTAGTTTCTGCAGCATCATTAGTCGGCGGGGTGGCAGCTGGAGGAGGAAAAACAAGTGCTACACTCTCAGGTAGAAACAAAAAAAAAAAACCACCACCAGCTTCACACATTGCCCTCAGTGTGTACATAGTTGTGTGTGCTATTACACACACAACACCTTGTGTGTTTTGACCAGGTATGCTGAAGATCCACTCTGCAGGCTCCAGCTCCCAGCAGACCGTCTTAACCATCCCGGCCAACCAGCTGAAGCAGCTCGGGGTTGGAACTGGCTCAGCTGGACTGCAAACCGTACTCATGCCTGTCGGCAAAGGTAAACAAACATCACTGTTACAGATGGAAAAACTGGGACATAATACTGCTAATGACAGTGATTTTGTTATGGAACTATATCTCACTGCTTCATTTAGCTGTTCTGACCTGAGCAGAAGTTTAAAATCCAAATAAAACCAGAGGATTTTACTCAAGCATTCCATATTCTTTTGTTTTTCTGTGGAAATGAAAAGGACCTTTCTCCTACTTTCATTTCTCATTTTCCTGCTACACCTGTTTACCTAACAGGCCATTGATCCATCAGTGTGTGTTTCTCTGTGTAGTTGTGTCTAAAGGCCCAGTCTCCAACACTCCTTGCTCCTCTTCATCCACAACCGCTGGAGCAGCTGGAGCTGGAGYCTCCCCAAGTCCTGCCAGCCAGGCTCCCCCCTCCCTTGTCCTGCCTCTGGCACAAGGTGAGAGGGGTCCATCCTCACACAGTCCTCTCTCCTCTCCATCTTTTATTCTTTAGATCCATTTTCTCTTTGATTTGTTGACACAATGAAAGATTTAGAGTGCATACCAAAAAAATTATACAAAAACAAATTATTTGGCAACTTAGGTAATAACTAAAAAGCATCCATATGTAATATTAGCATAAATGAACAGATACTAAGCCATTTACACTCCTGATGATATTAAAATGTAATAACATGCTAATATACAAAAATATAATTAGGAAAGTTAAATGTGATTTTTGTGAGTATCTAGACTGCTAAGATTTAATGTAGCTTCTCATATTTGCACTTCCTTGCCTCGTGTGTTGCCTAAACCCAATATTTGTCTCGCTTGTTGTCGCTCTCTGCTGCATCAGTGAAAACAGAACCAGGCGCCGCTACAGTGGGTCCATCGCCACCGGCGGCCTCTGCTGCTCCAGCCTTGGCTCACGTCGCCTCTGCAGCCACCGCTGTCAAGCAGGAGCAAGGCGCAGATACCGCTGCGCACGACCTCATCAAGTAAAGACTACACTGCTCTGACCCACAGCTCATAAAATATTCTCATAAAAACTGACGATTTATCTKTTGGTTAAGAAAAACTATTAGCGTTTTACTTTATAAACATCCTACTTCAACTTGAGCTAAGTTATTAACAAATTAACCTGTTAACAGAGGTCTGAATGCTTGCTTTTTTCCTTAGCTGCTCTGTTATTTCCAGACGGTAAACCTGACAGTTGTACCTTCTTCCCCCTCAGCACTGAGCACATAGAAACCATGATGCAGCTGATGACTGCTGTCCTGAAGAAGTTCCCTCTAATTGTACCAGAAAAAAGTAAGTAGGCAAACCTTTCACGTGGCGCACCCCATATATTATCTATAAAATCTGCCTGAACAGACTGACATGTTTCAATTCTGTTTCTTTTAGCTGAAGACTCCCATCCATTTTGTGCCTCTTCAGTGGAACAGTATTATTCCTGGAATATTGGCAAACGCAGAGCATCAGAGGTAACTTTCATATTATGATTGTCTGCTGCAGAGCACTGACATTTAAAGGGGATTTTCTTCAAACTAGGGCTGCAGGATAATGGACAAAACTGACATTGTGATTTTTTTTCTAATTCTGCGATATGTATTCTATAAAAAAACAACTAATATTTAACAGATGACTTAAATAACACTTGAAGTTATGCTGCCATCATGTTGACGATGAACCTGCACTAATCTCACCTCTTTTTTTGCTCATGTCACCAGTAACTTTTTTGTCTAGTGTTTCCCCTACCTTAATACAAGGAGGGTGACCCGCCCCCCTAACAGAACCAAACCCCCACCCCCATAAAGTCGAGGGAGAACATTTTGACAGGGTTTTTTTCTAATGTACTTAATGTACTTTTTTTTCTAACCACACCTACATTACAGAGATCTGAAATTGGTTTATGACGAGACATATTAGTTATTTTAGTTATTCAAGTGAGCGATATATAAGATTCAACTAATGCAAATTAAATTGTAGACATTTCATGTTCTGTAATTTTAATTTTTAAAACAGCTGCCCACTTTTAATAAATACTAGTAGTATTTCAGTTGTTGATCATTCTATGTTCACCCCCTTGCCCTCCAAAAGCCTCTAGGGGAAACACTGTTGTCTATTTGAGACGTATTCTTGTTATTTTCTGTGCTGTTTCCTTCTATCATGTGCAAACATGAACTGTGTTTTACAACCTTACATCTCTCCATCTTAGTTTCTATTTYGGTCGCGTTTTAATACAGACATCCCTGGTAACCGTACTTTACCTCTTTTCCTCCAGTTCTCTACAAATTTGCTCATCTTCCTCATTTTTGTTAAGATCCTTGCCGTCTTCCTCCACAGCTCGAGAATTCAACATCAGCACTTCTCCGAAAAACATTAAAATTATWGWCCCAGAAATTTCACAACAAACGGAAAGTTTTGCCACAAGGCCGCCAGTWTTGTGTAAAGCAGGGCTTCTTAACCTTTTTGACCTCGGGGCCCAATTTGTTGTGCATAAAATGACACGAGGCCCAGTCAGACATTACCAATGTATGGATCAAAATGGTAATTATTCTAAATCTTGGTTTAATTTTTATTGTATTTACATCATAACTAAACTATCATAACTAACATAACTAAATTAAACACACTTATAG